AGTATAATAATTAAAATGCTTGTTTTAAACATATTTAATACATTAACTATTTTGAAACAATAAAATTAATAAAATGTATGTTGGTTATAGCTCTTTATTAAAAAATTCATATTAAATAGTTATTATAAATATTTTATTTCTAATCTACATCTAATTACATATAGATTTAATTTACCGTACATCTATTAAATTACAAATTAAAATAAAGTATTCAATGTAAATATTAAAGCCATTTCATTAAGGATTTAATTTATTATTGTAAGTGAATGTAAACAAGTTATTATTAATAATATTAAATTGACATAATGCAAAATTTATCCTAAATATTGTTTTTATAGCATTTACATTAATAAAATAAAATTTAATACATAATTACAATACAGAATTGTAAATGAAATGAAAATAATTTTTTTTATAAAATTTAAAATTGCAATACAACTCGACAAATAAATAAAACAAAATAATTAATAATCGTTTATAACCTTGTTCAAACTTGAAAATGTAATATTATATACTGATAAATCGCTATAATTAAAAGTATTGGCACAATTTGATTAGATAACCAAGGGCAACCAAGTTCTTTTTATTCAATTGTTTTACTAAACATTAGTATAAAACTCTACTTAAGAGTGATTTTAATCTCAAATGCACTAGGACACACTTAAATAATATAAAATTTTATAATACAATAATTTGCAATCACTTTAATTTGAAATGTAGTTATCATTATTAAAATTACTGAGATTAATAAATAAATATTAATAAAATAATAATACAATAGTTTATTAAGTACAATTCTGTGTGTGGTGTGACTGTATTTATTGTATTGTAGTTTTATAAATGATCAATGTTACACAACAGGACGAGTTTGCTTTGAATTCATAATCTTAGTCTCACTGTCAGTAGACTGTGAGGTCTGTATGAGAATCACTGTATAATTCATGACAAACGTGAATATCTGTGAAAATACAATTTATAATTAAAGTATTGTCTATTTTAATTATTTAATATTATATTATTGTATTGAATGTTATACAAAACCGCAATAAATGTTGATTTATTGAATTTAGCGAAACCCCCGATAGTTATACCAAATGAATGAGTATTTCGAGTAATATTCCTCAATAAAAGCCATGACTTGTACTCACTATCAGACAAATCCGTGTATACCATACCGTCTAATATCTCATTCAGTTTATGAACATTTTCCTCAATTAAACCACAAAAATAACAACTCATACAGAATTGACAAATACAGACAATACAGTCGAAGTAAAGTATATGAGAGAAGGTTTTAAAATATGGTATTTGATTGATGTTTGCCAGGGTATAGATGGTTATCATTACGGTACAGATAGACAACAGTGTATTCAATGCAAACAAAACACTCCATTGACTGTCAATATATGACACCATTTGTTGGATTCGTATGAATAGTTTCCTTGAATTCTGTAATTTCGCCGACAATTGACTTTTAGGTCTGACTGTAATGACTGTAATATAATTGATTAGTTATAATATAAATATAATCATAGATAACATACAATCATTTAATCTGCGGGTT